CGTATATATACTCAATAATTCTAACGGCTTCAAATCAAGCAGGAGAACGCTAGTAGGCCCACATGTGAGAGAATTGGTCTGTGTGGTCAATGTACACTGTATAAAAAAATCCTGCAGCACACAGTGCATGAGAAAAAAAACTGACCGTTTTTTTGGATTAAAACACCGACTTTGAGGTGTATTTTCCTACAGTATTTATAGCTGTATTCTCATTTTCTTGGTCTCATTTGATAGAATGGAAAACATGTTACAGAAATAGAGATGATATTGATTAGTCATGATGAAAACGACCTTGAAATTGAGCTCACAGAAGCGGAAATGATCGATTTTTACTAATGTTCAAGAGTAAGCAAATCACACTACACATCCAATACACGTCAACTGAGGAGTCTAATATTCTTTCACTAGTGCACTGGTAATATTTATACCATTTTTACAATAATGCATTAGTCTGCATAACAGTAAATCTATTTTTTGTGTAAATAAAAAATCCAAGTAGAAAGCAGGAGTAATATAAGAGGAGCCTGGAGACATGACTAATGAACAGAAGATATGGTATTTCAGTGCCAAAATGTCTGCATTGTTTATTCTGGACCCTATTTCGATATTGGCATCTTTTTTTAATTTGCGTGAAATTGGCCAAATTGCCAATTTCTGACCACTTTACTGGGTAGTTTAAATCGGTAAATGGGTGGTTTCTTGTACTCAACTGATAGAAAAAATGGAGTTCTCAAGAAATAGCTATGAGTTTGGTCAACTGGAACAACGGAAGTGGCCAAAAATAGGGCTCAAAGTCAGTGAAATTGCCAATGCGTATATGTCGCCGAGACCGCTAACTTCGCGGGAGCGTAATTCCATGAGTTTTCAACCAAATGTCATACTTTTGGTGTCATTACCATCGGGAAAAGATTCTCTATCATTTCATAAGAAAAATTTTTTTTTTTTTTTTCAAAACTTTTGCAACATAGAATGACAGTTTCAGAAAGGGGCTTGCAATAGTCAAAGGTAAGGGGTGTTAAAAAGGCGGGCGAGTTGTACTACTATATGACACTCACAATACAGTGGATTAGGCCATGAGTGTTAGCCTGGCATCTGTTTGCTAGGGGAACCCCTGGAAAACTCAATTTACTGAAGTGTCATAGGTAAAAGTGCGTTGTACGATTTTTCTAAATGGCTAACACTAGTGTCAAGTACCAGGAAAATCTCGGCAGATCATGCACTAATTTGGATGAAAAATTTAAACCGGTCCATGTATACATTTGGGGCACTAGTGTTAATAACATATATATACATTTGGACCGGTTAAGGGTTAACAAGATTTTACTCTATAACAGAAACGTTATCAGAGTAATGCAACACAATGTAGGTGATGCTTTTTGGTACATAATTTCTAGTAGTTCATATCTACCAAATTTTTCCTAACAATTTCTTATTAACCTTTGACTGTCTGTCACAAGCACCTTTCTGAAACTGTCATTCTATGTCGAAAAATTTTTGGAAAAAGAAAAATTATTTTTTCATATGAAATGATAGAGAATCTTTTCCCGGTAGTAATGACACCAAAAGTACGAAATTTGGTCAAAAACTCATGGAATTACGATCCCGCGAATTAGCAGTCTCGGCGACATATATGCATCTGTGATTTCGCCAATTTTCAGCCTATTTTTGGCCAATTCCATTGTTCCAGTTGACCAAATTCATAGCTATTTCTTTAGAACTCCATTTTTTCTATCAACTGAGTACAAGAAACCGCCCATTTAACGATTTGAGCTGCCCAATAAAGTGGTCAGAAACTGGCAATTTGGCCAATTTCACGCAAATTAACCCTTTGACTGTCGCAGCCGTATATGTACGTCTTACGAGGTACCGTGTTGACGTATATATACTCATAAATTCTAGCGGCTTCAAATCAAGCAGGAGAAAGCTGGTAGGCCCACATGTGAGAGAATGGGTCTGTGTGGTCAGTGTGCACCATATAAAAGAAATCCTGGAGCACGCAGTGCATAATGAGAAAAAAAACTCCGAACGATTTTTTTTAATTAAAATGCCGACTTTGTGGTCTATTTTCGTATAGTATTTATGGTTGTATTCTCGTTTTTTTGGTCTCATTTGATAGAATGGATAACATATTATAGAAATAGAGGGGATTTTGATTGATTTTACTATAAAAAGAACCTAGAAATGGAGCTCAAAGTAGGGGAAATGTTTGATTTTTGCCAATGTTCAAAAGTAAACAAATGATGCCATTGTCCAATAAATGTCCAACTAGCCATTCTAATATGCAGTCATGAATGGGTTGATGTTATTTATACAATTATTACAGTATTGCAGTAGTCTGCATAATAGTAAGTCTTCTATTTTTTGTTTGAATAAAAATTCAAAATAGAAAGCAAGAGTAATATCAGAGGGGCCTGGAGACATGACTGATGAGCAAAGAAAATGTTATTTTAGAGCCAGGATTGTCTCCATTGTTCATTCTGGACCTTATTTTGACATTGTGATATTTTTTAGTTTTCATGAAATTGGCCAAATTGCTAATTTCTGACCACATTATTAGGTAGTTGAAATCGGTAAATGGGCAGTTTCTTGTACTCAATCGATAGACAAAATGGAGTTCTAAAGAAATAGCTATGAGTTTGGGCGACTGGAACAATGGAATTAACCGAAAATAGGGCTCAAAGTGGGCGAAATCGCCAATTTGTAAACAGCACCGAGGTCGCTAAATTCGCGAGAGCATAATTCCGTCAGTTTTCCATCAATTACGTTTTTTTGGTGTCATTACAATGGGAAAAGATTCTCTATCATTTCAAAAGAAAAAATTTTTTTTTTTTTTAAATTTTGCGACACCAGGAGACTCCTCAGGATTGGGGGTTGCGACAGTCAAAGGGTTAAAAAAGACGCCAATTTCAAAATTGGGTCTAGAATAAACAATGTAGACATTCTTGGTACTAAAATAACATATCCTCTGTTCATTAGTCACATCTCCAGGCACCTCCTATATTACTACTGCTTTCTATTTTGATTTTTTATTCATACAAAAAATAGAAGATTTACCATTATGCAGACTAATGCATTATTGTAAAAATGGTATAAATAATATCAGTGCACTGGTGAAAGAATATTAGACTCCCCAGTTGATGTGTATTGGACATGTGGTGTGATTTGTTTACTCTTGAACATTGGTAAAAATCAAACATTTTCGCTACTTTGAGCGCAATTTCAAAGTAGTTTTCATCGTGAAACTAATCAAAATCATCTCTATTTCTATACTATGTTTTTCATTCTATCAAGTGAGACCACGAAAAGGAGACTATAACCATAAATTACTATACGAAAACACACCTCAAAGTCGGTGTTTTAATCCAAAAAAAAAAAAGGTCGTAGTTTTTTTTCTCATTATGCACTACGTGCTGCAGGATTTTTTTTTATATGGTGCATAATGACCACACAGACCCATTCTCTCACATGTGGGTCTACCAGCTTTCTCCTGCTTGATTTGAAGCCGTTAGAATTATTGAGTATATATACGTCTGAAACACTGGCTCGCAAGACGTATATATATGACCAAAACAGTCAAAGGGTTAATCTGATCAAGTTTTACTGAAAAAATAAGACCAGGTTAAAAATTAATCCCTTTCTTGGTACATAAAACAAGATATAACCCAATACAATATTTTCCATTTTTTTTCTTGATGGTAGTTATTAACCCTTAAACTGTCTAAACGAAGAACTATGTTCACTTTCATGGCGCTCCGAACGAAGATCTAAATTTCTTTTTACATGTTTTCAAATGGAGAAAATAAACGTCGGAGCGCTACACACATGAACATAGATCTATGTTTGGACAGTTTAACCCTTTGACTGTCACGGCCGTATATATACGTCTTACGAGGTACCGTGTTTGACGTATATATACTCATAAATTCTAGCGGCTTCAAATCAAGCAGGAGAACGCTGGTAGGCCCACATGTGAGAGAATGGGTCTGTGTGGTCAGTGTGCATCATATAAAAAAAACCCTGGAGCAAACAGTGCATAATGAGAAAAAAAAAACTCCGACCGTTTCTTTTAATTAAAATGCCGACTTTGTGGTCTATTTTCGTATAGTATTTATGGTTGTATTCTCGTTTTCTTGGTCTCATTTGATAGAATGGAAAACATATTATAGAAATAGAGGTGATTTTGATTGATTTTACTATAAAAAGAATCTAGAAATGGAGCTCAAAGTAGGGGAAATGTTTGATTTTTGCCAATGTTCAAAAGTAAACAAATGATGCCATTGTCCAATAAATGTCCAACTAGCCATTCTAATATGCAGTCATGAATGGGTTGATGTTATTTATACAATTATTACAGTATTGCAGTAGTCTGGATAATAGTAGGTCTTCTATTTTTTGTTTGAATAAAAATTCAAAATAGAAAGCAAGAGTAATATCAGAGGGGCCTGGAGACATGACTGATGAGCAAAGAAAATGTTATTTTAGGGCCAGGAATGTCTGCATTGTTCATTCTGGACCTTATTTTGAAATTGTCAATTTTTTATTTTTCGTGAAATTGGCCAAATTGCAAATTTCTGACCACATTATTAGGTAGTTGAAATCGGTAAATAGGCAGTTTCTTGTACTCAATCGATAGAAAAAATGGAGTTCTAAAGAAATAGCTATGAGTTTGGGCGACTGGAACAATGGAATTAGCCGAAAATGGGGCTCAAAGTGGGCGAAATCGCCGATTTGTAAACAGCGCCGAGGTTGCTAACTTCGCGAGAGCATAATTCCGTCAGTTTTCCATCAAATTTCGTTTTTTTGGTGTCATTACAATCAGGAAAAGATTCTCTATCATTTCATAAGAAAAAATAATTTTTTTTTTAAATTTTGCGACACCTTAAGACACCTCAGGATTGGGGGTTGCGACAGTCAAACGGTTAAGGGTTAATATCTGAAAGTAAGCATGCAGTTAAGAATTACTTATTACACATGCAAAATGCTTTATCATTCATTATTACCTATGTGACTTTGGTGTTTTGGGTTTTATGTCCACAGTTGTGTCCAGAGGTGATTCTCCCACAGGGGTTGCACCGGGCACTTTATCTCCGGAGACATTCACAGAAGATGAAAGCTTTGTGCTCAGTTTGGCTCCAGATTCTGAAGCTTAAAATATGTATTCTTTTTAAATATATTAATTAAACACTATATTCATACCAATTAAATATACAGTAGACCATTATTTAACATGCTAGTTACGTTCCTGTAAACACTGTGTTAGGTAAAACCATGTTAGATAAACTGAAGAACTTAGGGAAAAAACAGGCTTACGTTCCTGAGAGCCCCAAAAAAGCCAAACAACTTCTTTTAGGCCTCCACATCTTATAAAAATAAAAGTGAATATGTAATTGTAGTTCATTGTTATGATGTATTATATTGTTTTTACTGGTTAAGACTACAAATGTAACAGAAATAATAGTATTTCTTACCTTAAATTGTGGGTGCTGGTGTTTGTGGATTGTGAAGAGAGTGGAGAGTTATGTTGTGGCCCTACTGGGCTGAGATGGATGGTAGAAGTTCTGGTACTGAAGTTGATGGTTGTAATGGAGTGTCTAACTTTAAGTCAATCAGTCGATCAAGTCATTCAGTAAGTCAGTCAAGTCATTCAGTAAGTCAGTCAAGTCATTTAGTAAATCAAGTTGTTCAGTAAGTAAATCAAGTCGTTCAGTCATTCAGTAAATCAAGTCATTCAGTCATTCAGTAAATCAAGTCGTTCAGTCATTCAGTAAATCAAGTCGTTCAGTAAGTAAATCAAGTCGTTCAGTAAGTCAGTCAAATGATTCAGTAAGTCAGCCAAGTGATTCAGTAATTCAGTCGAGTGATTCAGGAAGTCAGCCAAGTCATTCAGTAAGTCAGCCAAGTGATTCAGCAAGTCAGCCAAGTGATTCAGTATGTCACTCAAGTGATTCAGCAAGTCAGTCAAGTGATTCAGTAAGTCAGCCAAGTGATTCAGTAATTCAGTCGAGTGATTCAATAAGTCAGCCAAGTGATTCAGTAATTCAGTCGAGTGATTCAGTACGTCAGTCAAGTCATTCAGTAAGTCAGTCAAGTCATTCAATAAGTCAGTCAAGCCATTGAGTAAGTCAGTCAAGTCGTTGAGTAAGTCAGTCAAGTCGTTGAGTAAGTCAGTCAAGTCGTTGAGTAAGTTAGTCAAGTCGTTGAGTAAGTCAGTCAAGTCGTTGAGTAAGTCAGTCAAGTCGTTGAGTAAGTCAGTCAAGTCGCTGAGTAAGTCAGTCAAGTCGTTCAGTGAGTCAGTCAAGTCGTTCAGTGAGTCAGTCAAGTCGTTCAGTAAGCCAGTCAAGTCATTCAGTCAAATCATTCAGTAAGTCAGTCAAGTCATTCAGTCAAATCACTCAGTAAGTCAGTCATTCAGTAAGTCAGTCATTCAGTCAGTCAGTCATTCATTAAGTCAGTCATTCATTAAGTCAGTCATTCATTAAGTCAGTCATTCATTAAGTCAGTCATTCATTAAGTCAGTCATTCAGTAAGTCAGTCATTCAGTAAGCCAGTCATTCAGTAAGTCAGCCAGTCACACAAACTTGTGTTTACCTCATTTTTGTGTGTACAAAGTAACACTTCATTATGGCCACAGGATGTCTTTTCTAATATCTTTGTTTCCTTTGTTAACTCTAAGACTTAAATGCTTACACCTTTTCTTGCCATTTTGAGCAACACTGGTATGCCTACTGGGTGTCATGATTGCTTGGCAGATACAAGATATAGCAATTAAAAGATCAAAACAGTTCACAATAACAAGCTTGTAGCAGAGAAGTTGGACTGGACACGTATGAAGTACGAATGGTGGGGTGGTGTCAGGGGATGGCTGGAGATGGCAGGAGGTCTCCCCCGCAGACCCACAACAAGGCAACCGCTTGAGGAAAAGGGAAGTTTTTTTTTTTCCTTCCCGCAAACTGAACTGTGTTACATTCATCTTACGACGTGTTACATAAAATTGTTCCGCAATTCTTCAATCGTGCCAAATAAACTTGTGCTAAATGACGGTCTACTGTACTGCAAACAATTTATCATGAACACAAAATGCAGTAAATTAATACAGCCTCTACTCACTTAACGACGGAATTCTATTCCTAAGACACTGTTGGTGAACGAAGTCATCACTAAGCAAGGAGCATACTATAATGGTAGCGGGTTTGTGTCAACCATCTTTGATATTATTTTAATGTCCCCTTTGCACCATTTATAAAATTTTTAGTATATTTTTAAATGTTTATACAGTAGTGTACTGTATATTGTAATAAACAAAGTAGAGAAAATCAGCTCTAATATACATAATTTAGGTATGCATACTGGTCAGAGCCCATCGTAAGTCCGAGTCGTCAGTAAACGTGTACGTTGCTAAGTGACAAGAGGCTGTATTCAATAAGATGTCAAGCTCATAATCAGACACAATATGCAATGAGCTTGCACAAACAAGATATGAGCACTTCAAATGCAAACTTTATGCTTAATATTGAATATGCCTTTTGTCCTCGACTACTGCTCAACCTTCTATTACAATTAATTGTTGAGGAAAGTGAATGTGGTAAGAGCACAGTCATGGAGGGTTTTAAGGAGAAAACCCCATGTAGAATTTTTCAACATTTTATAGGCCATAAAGAATTAATGTACACACAATTACATTACAGTATTATCAACTACATAAGAAATACAGTACAGTGGACCCCCGCTTAACGATCACCTCCCAATGCGACCAATTATGTAAGTGTATTTATGTAAGTGCATTTGTACATGTATGTTTGGGGGTCTGAAATGGACTAATCTACTTCACAATATTCCTTATGGGAACAAATTCGGTCAGTACTGGCACCTGAACATACTTCTGGAATGAAAAAATATCGTTAACCGGGGGTCCACTGTATTATACCAAACTAGACTGGGGCACATGCAGCCCTTACATTTTGTTATTACCTTTTGCAGAAGATGGGTGACTACCATTAATGGGAACAGTTTGTGGGGTAGTTACACCTGGAGAATGAGCAGATATGGAGCTTCTTGTGCGTCTTTTAGTAGATCTGCGTACCAGCAAATTTAGCTCATTATTTTTACGAAACTGGAAAAAATAGATCATGTAACTTAATTTTATAGCATGCAATATGCATAAGAGCATGCAAACGGAAAAAAATAAAAACAATACAAGCAAAAGAGCCAAGTAATAGAAATTAATTAATCCAAGAAAAACTTCAATAAAACAATCTAACCTTTTTCTGGAGCCCTCTCCCTCCAAGGTAGTGACCCAAAAATTCAAATGTGCATACAAGACATGCATACTTTACAAGGTAATAAAGCAAACTGAGTGGTAGTAATCTTGGAAAAGCAATGGATTCATTAACAACGAGCATGGATTCAGAGATGGCAAATCTTGCCTTATTAACTTGTTGTATGATAAAGTAACAGATGTACGACAAGAGAGGGTTGGATTGCATTTTCTTAGAAAGCAAGAAGGGACAGTGGAACCTCATTTTTCGGCCGCTGCGTTTATCAGCCAATTCACATTTAGGCCTGTTTTTGGGTGGAAGTTTTGCGCAGTACATCAGCAATTGCCTCGTATATCGACCGTATTAGACGCAGCCTGCCGAGACGTTATGAGTATGTGAGTCAGTCTCCCTTTGTCTGTCGGCGAGTGAGCATACACTCAGTGCATTCATCCAAACATTTCCTTAAAGTCAGTTGCTTTTGGTGTTTTTCTTTTATTAAGTGCGACTGTGAAATAAGTCACCATGGACCCCACGAAAGTTCCTAGTAAAATTCCTTTAATATAGAAAGTCAGAAACACAATGGAATTTAGACGAAAGTAAGATCACAAACAAATGAAGATGTGGAAAAATTGTTGTTGTGGATCAGAGAAAAACAATTAGTTGGAGATAGTGTTTCAGGGACAATCATTTGTGAAAAGCAAGGCAGTTGCATGCGGATCTCGACAGAATATTATTCAATATTTTTTTTTTCTATATGAAAATAACCGGTTTCCCTGAATCCCTTCACTAAATATTACCCTGCTCACACTCCAACAGATCGTCAGGTCCCAAGTATCATTCGTCTCCATTCACTAATATCTAACACGCTCATGCACGCTTGCTGGAAGTCCAAGCCCCTCGCCCACAAAACCTCCTTTACCCCCTCTTTCCAACCCTTTCGAGGATGACCCCTACCCCTCTTTCCTTCCCCTATAGATTTATATGCTTTCTATGTCATTCTACTTTGATCCATTCTCTCTAAATGCCCAAAACCACCTCAACAACCCCTCTTCTCCTCTGACTAATGCTTTTAATTAACTCCACCCCTTCTCCTAATTCCCCCACTCCGAATTTCTGCATAATATTTACACACACTTTGCCCTTAGACAGGCCATCTCCACTGCCTCCAACCGTCTCCTCCGCTGCTGCATTTACCACCCAAGCTTCACATCCATATAAGATTTGTGGTACTACTATACTTTCATACATTCCCTTCTTTGCCTCCAAGATAACGTTTTTTGACTCCAAAATATCCCTCAACGCACCACTCACCTTTTTCCTCATCAATTCTATGATTAACCTCATCCTTCATAAATCCATCCGCCGACACGTCAACTCCCAAGTACATCTGAAAACATTCACTTCATCCATACTCCTCCCCAATTTGATATCCATTTTTTCTTTATCTAAATCATTTGATACCCTCATCACCTTACTCTTTTCTATGTTCACTTTCAACTTTCTACCTTTACACACATTCTCAAACTCATCCACTAACCTTTGCAATTTTTCTTTAGAATCTCCCATAAGCACAGTATCATCAGCAAAAAGTAACTGTGCCCAATTTCCCCATTTTGATTTGATTCCCCATAATTAACCCCACCCCTCTCCCGAACACCCCTAGCATTTACTTCCTTTACAACCCCATCTATAAATATATTAAAACAACCATGGTGAAAATTACACATCCCTGTCCTAAGACCTATTTTTTACCGGGAAGTATTCCCCCCTCTCCTTCTACACACCAAACCGGAGCCCCCACTACCCTTTCATAAAAGCTCTTTACAGCATTTTGTAACTTACCACCTATTCCATAAACTTTCAACATCTGCCACATTGCTCCTCTACCACTCTATCATATGCCCTTTTTTAATCCATAAATGCAATAAAACTTCCCTACCTTTTCAAATACTGTTCACATATATGCTTCAATGTAAACACTTGATCTACAAATCCCCTACCCACTCTGAAGCCTCCTTGCTCATCCGCAATTCTACATTCTGTCTTACCCCTAATTTTTCAATTATAACCTACCGTATACTTTTCCTGGTATACTCCAGTAAAACTTATTCCTCTATAATTTTTACAATCTCTTTTGTCCCCTTCCCTTTATATAAAGGGACTTTTACATGCTCTCCGCCAACCCCAGGTACCTTCCCCTCTTTCATACATTTTATAAACAAAAGTACCAACCACTCCAACACATATCCCCCCCTGCTTTTAACATTTCTGTCATAGTCCTGGAAATGGGGAAATACAATGCCTGCACTTTAAAGGAGGGATTTGGGATATTGGCAGTTTGGAGGGATATGTTGTGTATCTTTATACGTATATGCTTCTAAACGTTGTATTCTGAGCACCTCTGCAAAAGCAGTGATAATGTGTGAGTGTGGTGAAAGTGTTGAATGATGATGAAAAATATTTTCTTTTTGGGGATTTTCTTTCTTTTTTGGGTCACCTGCCTCGGTGGGAGACGACCGACTTGTTGAAAAAAAAAAAAAAAAAAATTTCAACAAGTCGGGCCGTTACCACCGAGGCAGGGTGACCCAAAAAAAAAGAAAATTCACAAAAAGAAATACTTTCATCATCATTCAACACTTTCATCTCACTCACACATAATCAGTCTTTGCAGAGGTGTCCAGATACAACAGTTTAGAAGAATATATAAAGATTATAACTACCCCTCCAAACTGCCAATATCCCCCCAAAACCCCCTTTAAAGTGCGGCATTGTATTTCCAAAATTCCGTACTCAAGTCCAAGCTATATGAAAATACCGGTTTCCCGGAATCCCTTCACTGAAATATTACCTCTCACACTCTAAACAGCTCATCAGGTCCAAAAACCATTGATTCCATTTCACTCCCCTCTAAATGCTCACACATACTTGCTGGGAAATCTAAGCCCTCGCCCACAAAAACCCCCTTTACTCCCTCCCTCCAACCTTTCTAGGATCTTCCTACCCCCGCTTCCCACCCTAAAAGACTTATACGCTCTCCAAGTCATCCTTTTTGATCCATTCTCTCTAAATTTACCAAACTACTCAACTCACCTGGGTTTAAACCTCTGGACTAATAATTTTAGCAACTCCACACCTCCTCCTAATTTCCACACTGCAAATTCTCTGCATAATATTTACACCACACATTGCCCTCAGACAGGACAGCTCCACTGCCTCCAGCCACCTTCTCGCTGCCGCATTTGCAACCCAAGCTTCACACCCATATAAGAGTGTTGGTACCACTATACTTTCGTACATTCCCTTCTTTGCCTCCATAGATAACATTTCTTGTCTCCACAGACACCTCAACACACCACTCACCTTTTTTTCCTTAATCAATTCTATGGTTAACCTCATCCTTCATAAACCCATCCGCTGGCAAGTCAACTCCCAAATATCTGAAAACATTCACTTCTTCCATACTCTCTCTTCTCCAATGTCTTATCCTTACTCTTATCAATGTTCACTTTCAACTTTCTGCCTTTACACACCCTCCCAAACTTGTCTACTAACCTTTGCAACTTTTCTTTAGAATCTCCCATGAGCACAGTGTCATCAGCAAAAAGTAACTCTGTCAACTCCCATTTTGTATTTAATTTCCCATAATTTAATCCCACTCCTCTCCCCAACACTCTAGCATTTACTAATTTTACAACCCCATCTATAAATATATTTAACAACCATGGTGACATTACACATCCCTGTCTAAGACCTACTTTTACCAGGAAGTAATCTTCCCCTCTCCTACACACCCTAACCTAAGCCTCACTATCCTCATAAAAAATCTTTACAGCATTTACTAACTTACTACCTATTCCATACACCTGCAACATCTGCCACAATGCTCCACTATCCACCATCATATGTCTTTTCTACATCCATAAATGCAATGAAAACTTTCCCTACCTCTATCTACATACTGTTCACATATATGCTTCAATGTAAACACTTGCTCTACACATCTCCTACCCACTCTAAAGCCTCCTTGCTCATCTTCAATCTGTCTTATCTCTAATTCTTTCAATAATAACCCTATTGTACACTTTACATGGTATACTCAGTAAACTTATTCCTCTATAATTTCAAGAATTTCTTTTGTCCCCTTTCCCTTTATATAAAGGAACTATACATGCTCTCTGCCAATCCCTAGGTACCTTCCCCTCTTTCATACATTTATAAAACAAAAAACCAAACACTCCAACACAATATCCCCCCCCTGCTTTTAACATTTCTGTCATCATCCCGTGAGTTCCTGCTGCTTCACTCACTTTCATTCTATGTAATGCCTCACGCACCTCCCCCACACACATCCTCCTTTTCTTCACTCCTAAAAGATGTTATACCTCCCTGACCAGTGCATGAAATTACCACCTCTCTTTCATCATCACATTTAAAAGTTCCTCAAATTATTCCTGCCATCTACCCAATACAGGTCCGCCATCACAAATCCGGCAATCAGTTATTCGGCACTAATTTTGGCTAGCATAATTTCAAATGGTAGGATTGCTGGTGTCTTTCTTTTTCTGTCTCATACACATGCAAGATTTCAGGTACGTCTTGCTACTTCTACTTACACTTAGGTCACACTACACATACATGTACAAGCATATATATACACACACCCCTTTGGGTTTTCTTCTATTTTCTTTCTAGTTCTGGTTCTTGTTTATTTCCTCTTACCTCCATGGGGAAGTGGAACAGAATTCTTCCTCCGTAAGCCATGCGTGTTGTAAGAGGCGACTAAAATGCCGGGAGCAAGGGGCTGGTAACCCCTTCTCCTGTATATACAGTGTACCCCCGGTTTACGATCAGCTCC